GGCAGGGCGTGAGAACGTCTTCCTTCCTCGTACAACTCAACTCAAGTACAGACTCGCGCACCTTTCTTCAGTTCACTCCTGCGCTGGACTGGTAATGCCTTACACCTCTCTTGCCGATATTCAAAAACACATGTCATGTTCTAGACGTTTACTAGACGTTCTAGTTATGTTCTAGACGTTTACTAGCAAACATGCATGTTACATCCGAATGTGTAAATGTGATCCTCCCGTATGCCATACCGCACTTTCCTGTCAGATAGAACCTTGTCTTCTGACATAATTCAAGATTACTAAAATGTTATCTTACTCTTCACATCACAAGGAAAAAAACCTAGCCATAACAATTTTACATTACTTCTTACGGAGATACCGTCAGTGCCTTGATTTATGACATGGCCCATGTAAGAGTTTTTTCATATGAAAGTGTAGCAAGGATAGGAACTTTCTTCCAGGAGTCTGTTGAGTTTGTGAAGCTTTAGTTGGTGTTCGCCTCCCACTGTGCAAGCCACGTGAATGATTGTAAGAATTTTAATGTAGTCCTGTACACGGAGAACTACTCGCACCTTTCTGTAGAAGACGTTGGGGAATTATTTTCCAACATAAATACTACACTGTTAAGGAGCTACAGCGGGAACACGGACAAAATGTATGGTAATACATTCCGATGTCCTCACATGTCCTGCCTTTTCTTGGTAGCGGCCAGGCCGGCCAACTATTCACTATTCCGTTCTATCGTGAAGAATGTGCGTGATTTACATAATGGATATTTTAAGCTCTTTTTGTCCTCTTTGAGCGTCCCCTCTTCTTTTTACGGAAGAAAAAATGTGAGCTGGCCAGTGGAACCACTGTAAGAAAGCGCCGGGAGGTGACCGCTTGCTGCAACCTACACGTCAGTAATGATGAGCGGGTTGCATTCACTCTACTTGCAGGGGCCTCACGTGTATTGTTCCTCTCAGCTGCTATTCACGAACACAGGCGTTTTGTTACGTTTGTTCGGCAGACTATAGCTCTTTTGTGTAGGGAAGTAACATAACATAAAATAGTGGCAGCTGTTTGCAGACCTATATTGTTACTATTACAGCAATGGGAAAATAAATATTACCACTCAGTACTGACGATACATTTGCAGGAAGCGAAGAACAAAACCATCCAAAGAAATTATTTAAGTTTCTTTTGAAAATGAAAATATAGAGAGCAGAAAAAATGTTTCAAGCGTAACTGAAAACCCTGCAAGTAAAGAAACTCTTACGTGCTTTAGTTCTTTTTCTCACTTAAGTTCCTTTATGCCTTTTCCGAGTAGACAAATTATGTTGACAAATTGCTCAAAAGAAATCATTTCTATTTTTTTTTTTTTTTAAATTGATCACGTTCTTCGTAATTTGGTGTATGGTTTTTGAATCTCACTACAAAATTAAATTTTCAAAAATCAAATCGGCTAATCATCGCATACTGAGTTAGAAACCTTCCAAATGAAACAATAAGTGCGGAAAAAAATCATTTTTAATAAAAAAAACTGAGTATAGCTATGTGTGTGTAAAATCGCAGGCTGCGTTATTCTAATTGAAAGAATAACTTACTTGTACATTGCTGCTGTAAGTTTTAATAGGCTATTCACGGTAAAGTGAGCTCTTTATAGTCCCCCCCCCCCCCCTTCCTCTCATGACTTAGCAGTTGTTAACTTTTGAGTGGTGAAATGTAGACACTGTGTTTAATAGTTACATGTCAATGTTTGCATTAAAAAGTGGAGGAAAATAAGAATTGGCTAAACGGAGGGCCAAACGGAGAATTCTAGCAGGGCCTTAAACTTGCAATACTTAGCATTTACGTCATTTCAGAAATGACGCGACAAAAATTTACACTAATTCTGACGCTTGCGTTTGTTGATGACCGTATTTTTGCATACGACTGCACCTACGTGTTGAAACGACTGCAAAAAATGTAATTACCAACTGTTTACCAAATGAAAGGACCACACTGCAAATAACGTAATGAATTAGCCAATCATAACCCGGCATCGTTATCTTTTTTATGAAAGTATAAGAGGCGCGAACACAAACGTGTCATGCCCCATGGTTACAGCGAGTGAGTTATAAATACACGATTATAGCATAAAATTAACAGGTACGTAGGTCAGCGTGTTTCCATATAAAATAGATTAATTTCGGCGGTATTAAAAACACGTACTTCTAGTGATTTTTATACGAACTTCTAAAATCCCGCTTTCGTGTATTTTCTCATCAGTACACAGGCTTGGCGATGAAGTGTTTATGGATCGTATTCCGTTACGAGAAATAACGGATATGAATTCAACAAGACGTTTGTCTCTCATGAAGAAAACGACTTACGTTGTTCCGACCCAGGCCTTAAATTGGACACAATATCAACAGATACACTTTAGCAGTTTTAGTCAATAATTGTTTCAACACAGCAGTCCTAGACAATGTAAACATCCAGCGACAAAGACGTGGGTCCTGAACAACTTGTAGACACGATTAAATTGAATATTCTCCGAATATTTACACGGCGGTAACATGGACACAAAAAAAAAGCGCGGCTTCAAAGTAATTGGGCGAGGAGCAGATCATACAGCGAAACCCGCTGTATGTGGGAGGCCAAGGCGGGGGTCAATGTTTTTCGAGCGGCCGGTAGCGCCACGAGACTCGCTGGGGCCCAGGCCATGTTGACAGAACCATTACTGGTAGAAATGAAAAAAGGGGGGAGGGGAAGTGTGGATGTGCCGAGTAGAGGGAGGAACGCAGGAGAGAAGGAACACGGCACAAGCTCCATGAAGATCAAGGGGGGGGGGGGGGGGACGAAAGAAGAGTGGAACCGAAACTGACTCACCTTTGTGGGAGAAGCAGCAGCAGGCTTGCAGCAGAGCGGAGATGAGGCAGAGAGAAGCCGCGGCCGACATCTTGTCGCACGTGCTGGACCCTCTCTCTCTCGCGTTACGGCGGGCGCCGTCCTCCCCGACTGTTCTCAAAAAACCGTTTCTCTCGGCGGGAAAGGGAACTGTTGCGACGAGGTTCTTTTTAACGACGATCACTAAAACGTCGGGACAGTAAAAAGAAAAGAAGAGATTGAGAAAAGGAGTTGGGTGTCCTCTCCGCCAGCCCAAAAATAACTCCCCCACTCCTACCTCAGGCGACAGGGCGAGGATTGCAAGTCTCCGCGTTGGGGTTCATAGTCCTTCCCGGTTACCCCATCGTCGCACGACACCACTCTCCGTGACTACGAGGCGTGTGGTCCAGCCGGGACAGTGACGTATGTGACGTGTCCCAGAGGAGCGGACCAGGTCGCGGCCGACGAAGAGCAACCTCCTGCTCCCGCCGCGTCACCCTGGCAACTGACGAGGGTAGCCCCCTCAGCTTCCCTTGCACGGCCCTTCCACCTCCTCTACACTGCCCTGGCGTGGGAGGGGAGGGGCATGCGCGCGCAGCCCGCTCCACCAAGGGACCCCCTGCTGCCAGCGCAAGGGCGACGCAAGGGACTTACGCTACATGCCTCATTCATAAATAATGAATGGCTCGCCCTTTTTCCCTCCGCTGGTTCCCTCCTACCTTTCCTATAGACCAGTGTCGCCAACAGTTTTGCCAGCCAGGACTTCCGGTGACGGGTACAACCTAAATATCGCCAACTGTTTGCTTCTTTACAAACAAATAAAAAACATTTGATAGTATACGTTACTGATCATATTTGAGTTTGTTCGTACTGTTCGCTACTGTGTTGACTCGGAGGAAATTTGAAGGTTCCAGCTGCCGTTTTTTTTAATTTTTACTAACAAGTCAGAAATATTGGAGTGAAATAAATAAAAAAAATAAAAAACTCACTTTGTTGTTTTTAGAAAAAAATATATTTACATTTGTTACCACAATGCATATCACAGATAAATAATTATTTAAAAATATGATATAACGATCTAAGATCGAAAAGTAATAAATATAAAAAAAATCAAATTTGTCTTGCTTGTTTACCGCGAATATCTCACTAAGGCTGACAGCGGCCCGATTGACACTCCTCCCCCCTTTTCCCTCTCGAATATTATTTTCTCGGCTACTTCCTTGGGACATATAATTCTGCTGAACCCAGATATGCTTACTTTGAGAACATTAATGACGTAATTATGATAGTTAGATTGGACTGTGACCATTGCTGACCATGAGACTAAATAAAAATCAGGCTAATTTTTATTTAGTCTCATGGTAGGCAATTGACACAGACCAATCAATTCATCATAATGATAACATGAGCTCACTATAGCCATTAGATAAAAAAAAAATTAATGACGAAACGCATGTTGCACTGATTTTGCTGCGACCAAAGTTGTTAATTATAACACTTGTGTTACCAGTCTCGCACAAACGATCTGTTTAGTATTCACGCAATAGATACATTTGAAAGTGACGATGAAATGTAGTGATTTCGTGAATTGCCTGGTACTACAAGCGACATTTATTTGTATGGCCATGTGCAATGGTAATGTGTAAATAAATTAGTTCAGTAATTAGTTTACTACAATTTACAGTAAGCGAGATCTGATTTGTAGCCGAAGATATTTTCTGCGATTGCTTTGTACTGGTCAGCTGAAGAGAGGACGGCGAAACATGAGCCCACGCGTAAAAACAACAACACGCGGTACATTTACGTACTACCCTTAGCCGTAAATGAGCACCGAAGACTACCTTTCGAGCCAAAAAAATTCAACGAAAGCCAGCGGTTAAAAATCATGCTCTGTAAGACACAACAGAACAGGAAATGAGCGCACTCTAGATGCTGTGTTAATAATGTTCATGACAGGAGCGCGACAAGTCAGTCGTCTGTGTCGTAACATCCACATCTTGCTGCACGACGATGACAAAAACTCCACAAATGGAGAATCACCATCTATGTTATTTTTCGTAGCATAATTTTGTGGTAGGGACTAGGCTAAGTACGTGTTGCCGAGCTGCATTAGCATTTGTCTGCAATACGGAGGGAAAGCATAAGGAAAATCCACCGTAGAACTTCAGGGCAGAATCGAACATGCGAGCTCTTGAATGCGAGTCAAGCACTTACCGCAATGCCATACAGACTCGACTTTTATACACGCTCTGTGACTGAAAATGTGAGTTCGCTGCAACACACGCTAGTTTGTCTGATTGGTGGCAACTGCAGGTTTTATACATTGGGAGTGTACCCAATTCTGGAACTCGAGAGGTGCTTTCACACTGGTTGTCAGTTTAATATAATACGGGTATTGTGATTAAGTTTTTCAAGGTGAAAGTTTTAAAAAATTTTTTCTAATAGTAGACTTGCGTTATCTATTTCCAATAACCTACTAGGAAAATAACCATTTATGTACACATCAACAACACAGTTAATAAGATGCTATTTCAGATCTATCAAAACGTTTACACAACTTTGTTATCAACAGCAAATAAAGTTTAGTCTACAATCTTTACAACCTCCGTGCAGTAATAATAATGGGCATGGTGAAGTAATTTAATAAATCTAGACACAATGACGAAGTGTAATCCTGCCTCCACCACAGCTGTGTCGATCCATGGATGTGTTTCAAGAAAAGAAATGTTTGTCTATGATTGTACACGGCTCTGAGTGGCTCGTCGGAACAGTCAACAACAATAAAACTGTAAGCAGTGGTCTTATTATTCAAGTGATATAACAATTAGTATGCTACCACGATATCAAAAATGCCCATTAAAAGATTAACCGACAAGTTCGTCATTTAACGAACATGAATAACCAAAACCGTTTAAAATTACTGAAAAGATTAGAAATAAATATTTTATAGCCAAAGCCCTGTTCACATTAGGCGCATTTTTTATTTTAGTTTTTTTTCTGGTGAGCCCCCAAATCCCGCTACGCCAGCGTGAGCTCCTTCATGTTCTGTGAGCCCTCCGGCATGCATGTTAGTAGCTAAGGCGGTTGTAGAATGGGATACGTCTCAGGGCAAGACCTATAGGCCTTAATTTGCGGGATTATTATGTTTGAAAGGGCGCATGCATCGCGGCTATATCAGGGTTGTCTGGTGCCATGTCCGCAATTGTAGCAATGGACACACCCCGAAAGAGGAAAGGTCTAGATTGAAGAGCATAGAAAACCAGCGCAAATTGGATAGTGCACTGGGAAAATCGTGGCGAGGGGGGGGGGGGGGCTGAAAAGTATCCATTCGGAATGGTTACCATTACGGGAATTTTGCATCCATACTTGCTCAGAAAAATCCGTAATGGTAACCATTCACATTTTATTAGCAAAGCACTGCGTTAATGAATCCTAAAAAGTATCCATTGTAGGAATGGTTACCATTCCGGATTTTTGTACCAACATTCACATCCCAAATATCCTGAAAAGTGTCCACAGTCGAAATGTTTACAATTCTGGTACGTGTGATTTTTTAGTTGTCATCCACAAAAGCCTGAAAACTGTCTACTGCCTGAATGGTAACCAATCTGTCTTTTTTGCGTCAGCGAAGCTTGGAGTTTACCGACAAATGATTTTCAAGAGTAGCCCCCTCGCGCTTAAAAATACTGCACAAACGTAGCCCAACATTATGCACCGAGCCAGAGTTCCAGCGCCAACAGGGGAGTAAATCCGCAAATCAGTGATTCAAGGCGCGCGGGCAATTTTGTTTGGATGGTGATGGGAAGTGTCACGCATCGGCGAAGCTTGGAGTTTTTCCCCACAAATGGTTGTCGTGTGTAGCATATTTGCATTGAGTAATAATGTGTGCGTGTTTTGCAATTTAACATATTTTTGTACTATTTGCTATATTACTGTAATATTGTCAACATATTTTCAAACTATAGTCCAGAATGGTTACCATTCAGGCAGTAGACAGTTTCCAGGCTTTCGTGGATGACGACTGAAAAACACACATACCGGGATTGTAAACATTCCGACTGTGGGCACTTTTCAGGATATTTGGGATGTGAATGTCGGTACGAAAATCCGGAATGGTAACCATTCCTACAATGGATACTTTTCAGGATTCATTAACGCAGTGCTTTGCTAATAAAATGTGAATGGTTACCATTACGGATTTTTCTGCGCAAGTATGGATGCAAAATTCCCGTAATGGTAGCCATTCCGAATGGATACTTTTGAGTCGGCCGGAAAATCTGTGTGACAGTCACGGGGAATATATATAACATATTCCTTTAACTAGATAAGGGCGGAAGGAAGTAGCGTAATTGTTAGTTAGTGAATATATAATCCATCACTGTTCCTTCCTACTTTTCTGAAGCCCTGCTAAAATTCTACTTCCATGCTAAAATTCTACTTCCAGGATAATACTCCGCCTCATGCAAACAAAGTTTAACCGAGGCAAGATAATTACACCAAGGGAGCAACGCACCGCATTCGTGCGCACTCCGTGTATAAGCCGTTCGCGGTAAAGTGAGCACTTTTTGAAGCCGTTTCATCAGACATAATAATCAATAAATTCATCTCATTGTGGCCTCGGACTATTGGTTTTGGGTGTGGTGAATGTATAGCCTACATGTGATTATTACTCACGTGACATGGTTTACATTAATAAGTGGTGGAAGGATATAAATTGGCTGAAAGAAAAGTAACTAGGCCTTCAGAAGTGCTCACTTTATTGTGAACGGCCTATAATAATATTTTGCATAAGGACTATTTCTTACTAGGCATTGCCAAGATACATATTTTCTCACTATTCTTATTCACACTAAGTTAAAAAAAAAATTATAATTTGTAGATAGAATATAGCTAAATATAAATTTAATTTAACCAAAAATAATGTTCTTTTATGTTATAAGTAAAAAACGCTCGTAATACATGATAAATTTAGGAAAGAACCAAACATGTGTTGCAGGGTGTCATTTTTCAAAGGTTTGATTCGAAAGGTCTAAAAAAACGGAGAATAGATTATATACTGCTGCGAGTTTGATGCAGGATGATAGGAAACGAGTGAAGGTGGAGCTTAGGCTCGTGGTTATGTGATATGCCTACCTGCCCTTGACTGCTCTGTGACCTTGATCGCCAAGGCGCCGCCTGAGCTCATGCGGCGAGTAGTTCGAGCTGGTGATGCGTTCACGCCCACCCGCCAGATTGCTCAGAACTAAGGCTCCCGCCTGCCTACCTGAAGTTAGTTCTGTGTTCGAGGCCGAGAGGCGCATGAGTGATAAGGGCTACTCTGCAACGCACATCAAGTGCGCTGTCACCGCTATGCGCAAGGCTCTGAAACTGGCGTGCAGTGTTCTCGTCTTCTTGTTAGCGAATTTAAGAGATGACCCTACCGTTTTATTGGTGGGAATTCTGTTACATAGTTCAGTACAGTTACTGAATTCTAAATAAGTAATTCCTTAATAATGTTATAGGGCTCCAAAATAATGTGGATGTGTGATATCTTGAAAGTGCCATTCGGTCCACGTCTGAGGTTGGTTTTCTGTTGCTAGGTATAGGCTATATTAATGGTTAAATGGGCACTTTTGAAAGCCCTGACTAAGATCTACTTGTATGCACGTTGTGTATTCTTATGCCTTGTGTAAGATTAACATTGCCATGGGTCTCATCACTTTATTCATGCGTCGGTCAAGTGAAACTGTGAAATTATTATAAAAATAAATATTTTACAAATCTGCTCATTTTTACACTTCTATGCATTAAAAAACACAGAAAGCGAAATAAATAATGTAAGTTATTAGAAAAGGTTGCCCAACACTTTTTATTTGAAGTTAAGATACTGAACTACTTTCCATCCATCGTTACCAACTTCACTGGGCGCATGTCACTCAGTGCGCGCGTTAAAACATTATGCATGTAGGCGCAGTGACTTTTTCCTAAGGTTGATTTCAAAAGTGCTCACTTTATCGTGAACAGCCTTCAAATATATCGCGGACACTTCTAGCAGCTTCTTCTATAAACCTGCGTATTTTAAACATATTGCAAACACAGTTCAGTCGACAGGCAGACGACCTCCTTAATGAGTACTGCAGGTACTCAGGTGGTACGAGCCAAGACATGATCTTGTATATACATACACTAGAGCAGTATATGTACGTGCAGGTGTATCTTAGGAAGTACGCTATTTGTTTCAATTTTTCTTTTCTTTCGGTGGATCCTGAAAGCCACGCTAGGGGTAGTGAAATTTCGCAAAAAAATTCCAAGACAAGTTATATTTCAAAACAATGTAGTACCGTTTACCTATCTTGTTTGGGCTGAATTACTTTATAACAAGTGTTAACTGTCTGCACACGTATCACGTAGGAGCCGTGCCGATGTTGTCGAATTCTGAGTGGCCGAGTCCAATATGAAAACGCCTTCTCAAGCAGATAACAACCAATGACAATATACAAACTGCTGTTGGGTGCTTATAGTATTAAAGTCTACCCTGTACTAATAATTTCTAGTGAAACATCACTAGCGTATTCATGACCGACATAAAAAAAACAATTAATGACATTAAAACAATGAAACGTTTTTAAGCGAAAGGTGAACAATTAAATGTTTTGTCATTAAATCTCAGCTGTGACAGAACAATGAAACACAGTTTTTGCAGTAATTAGTTCTAACAACAGTATATAAGAGATAAGCTGTTTCTTAGTTAAGTGAACGCTCTTGAAATCCCAGCTTAGGACGTGCTTTTCTCATTTAATATCATTCTGTGATATGTAAAATTAACATTGCCAATGGCCTCATCATTTTATTCACGCGTCATCCAAGCGAAATTGTAGGGCGTTAGCAATATAAATGTGCTTCTAATAAGCAAATTCAAACTAATGAGTAGTCTATAAAATAATAAATACTATCTCCAGTGGCTGCATATCAAAACATATTCGCAATACGTCAAGTTACAGAACTATTTTTATTAATTCTTTGCAATTGTAAAAAAAATGTGTAACTTTGCACAAAGTGTATGAGGTAGCAGTGCTTCCACTGAAGTGTTGATTTTACTCCTATGTACGTCAATGTATTTTCACTCTGCGTTCAAGTGTATTTATCTTCCTAATTAGTAAAATAACTTGTACATTGTACAACTAATTTCACATAGAATGGTGTAAAATTACAATTACTATGTCGCAGAAAGTAAACTGCAACATTCGTGTAT